CCGTGAATCTGGGGGAGGCAAACAGGCCTTGCTCAGTTTTGCTCACTGTCTTCTCATCGGAAACAGCTCTTATTAATGTCAATCGTTCAAGATAGTTTCGAAACCATCCGTGCGTGGCCACTAGCCTCCCCCGCCCCGCCCCTGCCCTGTTGCTGCTTCCGTTTGCTTCCGCAGTGCCCCAGCCAACTTTTCATCCTGCAGAAGCAAGGCAGGCGGCCTAGAAAGGAAGGCAGCCTACTCTGCCCGCATCTATCAAGCTGCTTACAAAGGAACCAAATTCAAGGAAAGGAGAAGCAGAATTTCCGTTGGGGAGACTGGAACAAACCCCATCAAGACCCCTCTAGGGATGGCTGCTTCTTGTCTGGATTATCACAGAGCCCCCATCTACTCCAAGTCTGTGGGTGATGATTTGGAATCTGGGTCTAAAGAGATGGATGGCTGTATGGTTTCTGTACTTCAGAACTCTTGGCAGCCCAGAAATTGGGTGGCATATAACTAATTAACTAGATCACATGGACCTTGCATTTTGGGAAATATCTTCTTATAATGCATTGGTTTAAGGTCATCACAAAATTGACTTTCAAATAAAAATTTTAAAATGTACTATTACAATTAATTATTTGTTTGCTGTGTGTGGGGGGGGGTGTAAGGTGTGTGTCAGAGTCAGAGGACAACTTTCAGGAGTTGGTGCAGAGCCAGGGTTGAACTCAGGTCATCAGTCTTGGTGGCCAAGAGCAGCTGAGGCACCTCACCAGCCCTCAGAATGAAGTCCTGCAGGAACTGCTCTCTGAGGCTACAATGCACATTAGTCTGTTTAGAATCTGGTGCATCTCTTCTCCTTCGAAAGGCTGCAGGCTGATAAGACACCTCACTGGGTAAACTCCATTAGATCTTCCTCCTTTACCTCAACTGCCTGACGTTAAAAATAACAGCTTAAACACAATACTCACAGTTCAGTTCCCCTCACCTAGAAAAGGGCTTCTCTTGGTTAGGACCAAATGAAAATGACAGAAATTTGAAAGGCCCTTTTCTTTTGAATTAATTTCCCCACCAGGGAACAGAAATAGGACACTGAAGTCACACAAGACAAGGGAACAACCGAAACATGAGTGTTGCAAAGATGGCCATCTAGAGGACACAGTGCCTCCAACAGCTGCCGGTGCCCCGCAAATGCTGAGCTGTGAATTCTAGTTGGAACATTCTAACTTACATTCTCCTAGGACGTGGAGGTGTCAGTTTGATGTCGTGACTAACTCACAAGTGGAAAAGAAGTGAGAAGGGGGCCCACTTGAGCTAAGTCACCATTATTTGTCCTAGAAACTTCTCGTGGTCAAGGCTAGATTTTTAAGGAAAAAAAAAGATGAAAACAGCAGAGTGTAAGACGATAAGCCCTGGCCACGATGCAGGATCTCGGCCATGTTTCCTTCTCTGTGCAGCTTGGAGCACAGTACTGAAAGTACTGAGTGGGACTGTGCTGGGTGATTGTGCGGCACACCCAGTGTGCAAAGATGGAGGAAGGAGCAGAAGGGCTAGTAGGAGGTGACCTCAGCAGGAGCGCATCTTCTCAGGTGGAATGTCACAGCCAGCAAGCATTTGTATTGACAAGTAGCAAGCCAAGGGCCCGGAGCTCAGACTATAGGTCTGGCCACTCTCTCAGGGCCACCAAAGTTAGAACAGAATAAGCACTTGGCAAATGGTCAGTGGTACGTGTTAGCACTTATCATTAACGATACCTGATCTGGCGGATTCCATTCCAGCACCCTAACCTGTTCTCTGTTGGGGGGGGGGGGTTACCCGAACTGTGTCACTGGTTTGAATGGCTTCTGTACACAGGGAACCCAAATCCAAGAAATCCACTAACCTGTCCGGTAGACTAGTGTCCTAGAAACTATGCTCAATCAATGTGCAAAAAAAAAAAAAAAAAAAAAAAAAAAACCCAGTAGTGTGGTGGATCAGAAAAGTTTGATTTCTTTAAAGGAACAATCACAGTTAACAGCTGAAGTACAGAGAAGCGGGTATGATTAGAAGAATCTGGGACCCTGAGCTTACGTTTGTATCCTCCAGCAATGCCAGATTGCGTTAGACATCTCTGCAGCTCATCGGCGTCAATTTGTCCATCCTTATAAAACAAAGAGACAGAAAACAGGAAGTGGAAAAAAACGATGGTGAGCTGTAATTTCATGTCCTTAGACAAGGGCGAGGGAAATTGATGATGTGTAGCATTTTAGAAGGAATGTCTTTCAAAATTGGGCACTCTTCTCCCAACTCTACCCTCATTCCAAAAAGAATTTGACGATGAGAAAATATTTGTCATAGCAGACAGTCTCTACTCAGTTTGAGCCAAAAAATGATCAAAACTAATCATTTTAAAATATAATTAGTTGCAGGATTGTTTAAAAAACATATCCTTCAACCCCTTTTTGAGAGAGAGAGAAGAGAGAGGAAGAAGGGTATATAGTAGACCTTTCGAGCATCAATAAATACAAGGGGTGGCCTAAGGAGAAAGAGGCTTGCCCTTGAACCAACTTATGGCGTAGGAGACAGTGTTTTCTGAGCAGTTATATGCAGAAGACATATGGTAGGCATGGGAGGCTCTCGGACCTTCTTATTGGCTGACTGAGGTCAAAACTGTCTCATTTTTAAGGATTTTAAGTAAAACACATAAATCTAAGTTGGCAAGATCCATTATGTTATAAATAAGGCACAATAATTTGGAATTATTAATGACGAGTGTGTGGAGTCGAGGCCAGGGATGCTGAAAGCCAAGAAGGCGGGGTCACTTACATGCTGGAGACAGCAGCAATCTAAGAAAGCTAGGGTTGAGGTGTGCTGTGTCTTGTGGTTTCAAAGACACAGATCAATAACAGACTAAGTAGCTACTCGAGAAGAAAGTCTCCCAGTCTTTGACTCAATTTTCCATTCAAGTTCTCAACGCTGTGTTTCTTAGAGTACCACTTTCAAAGGCGGCCTGGGGGTTTTGCTTACCATATTCTACAGCATCTACAGCATTTTTTTTTTTTTACCAGATATTTCTGGCTTTTGTTGTTAAAACTAAGGTGAACAAGCAGGATAAACATCCCTTCCGGACATGTTTGGATTACGTCAAGGGTACATTTACCAAACACAGAGATCATGACTTTGCAAGCTGGTCCTTGCAAGTGTCCTTCCTCCCAGCAGCCTAGACCGTCACACAGGGAGGGAAGTGGGACTTAGGATTTGACTAAGTGGCCTGGATTCTTTCTTTGGGTCAGCAGGCCGTAAACCTAATAAGGACAGAAACGCTAGCAGGGGAAGATCATCTACAAAAGGGAGAGAGGTCACCTTCCAAACAGACAGTAACTCTCCTTCCCCAAAGCCTGTGGCTCTTTACACCTCTCTACCTCCTAAGGGAGTAGATGGCTAATTAGCAAATCCAACTTAAAGTAGATATCATAATTGGGCTACAGAATTACTAAGGCACGTCTTTATGCTGGACAAACAGAAGTTTTATGTTCAGAACTTGAATTCCGCCCTCCCCCCGATGAAACTTTACTCTACCCTGATAATATGGTTCCACAGCATCTTTCTACTTTATAGGTCTTCAAAGTGTTTTTATAATATATAATATATAACCCCCTTTGGTTCAACCGAACCCCTAGTTCAGTCACAAGGTGAGTTGTGAGCTGATCTAGCATGAATACAGATGTTCTCTGCCCAACTTTGTCCAGGACTAAAATAAGCAGGTTTTTGTTTTCCTTTCCTTTTCCTTCGTTGGCCCAGGGTGAAGTTCGTTTAGTTGCCACCGCACTGAACGGTAACACAAACAGATGTAACAATGCTTCAGTGTTAAAAGGAAGGGCTAACCTGTCCAGCCACAGCAGCGAAGTAGCCGTAGAGCGGATCCTGAGTTTGTCCGGGGAACGCAGGTCCTCCAGGAGCCCCTCCATACTGCTTAAAGGAAACGCAAAAGCATCAGAACGGAATCTAGTTTATTTCACCATGCACAATTCTGCACAAAGCAGAGGCAACACAGGATCTCCCTCCCGCGACCTCACACTCCAGCGCAGTGGCCCACCCCGCTCTTCCACTCCCGATCCACTGATATTTAAAAGCGGGCGAGTTGGTCCAAACTAAGACTCCCATGAAAGTGAGGTCGCTATAAGCGAAGCCACATAAACTCTCTATCAACTAGGAGGTTGCCTAGGTGAATGTAACAGAGCGATTTAGCAGCAAGGCTCGGGACTGTTTTCCTGTTGCTTTTTAAATTTTGTTTTGTTTTTACTATGTTTTAAAAGCGCTTGAAGTACTAGGTAAGGCTGGAATTGGTACAGGGTTGACAGGTGTGGCCTGTGAGGAAAGAGGATGGCACCGCTGTATCTCAGACAAGGGTTCTCTGTCTCTGACAGTACATCCCTAACACTTGGCGAGGTGGTCTTTCTCTAGGGCTCCAGTTCATTTCTCTAGACTTTCTGGTCTCCCTGTCACTTTTTGTTCAAGAGAGTGACCACAGGACCGTGCTAGATCAAGATGGCTGTTGTTGCTTTGGGGGCATTCGAGAGAAAGCAGGAAGTGAGCACGCAGCCTGCACTATCTCACGCCCACATTTCCAAGTTACCGAGTGGGCTTCCCGGGTCGCAGCCCACCCACCCGTTGTCCCGAGAGAGCCCCTAGGAAGATAGGGACAGAAGAATGCAGTGGAGCCGAGGATGGACATCAGGAGCCAGACGTACGCGCTGGGAGCATCTGGGACGGGGATCCCCCGGCAGCGCCTCCTCCCGTGCGTCCTTGACGCCCTCTCGCCCCGGGAGCAGCGAGGCTGCGGTGCCCGCGCTCTGCACTTACCCCGCCTGGGTAGTACCCGCCGCCGGCGCCAGGGTGCCCGGGGTACGCCATGGTGCAGACTGCGCCTCCGCCCAGCACGTCTGCTGCTCCGCCCGTCTGCCTATCCGGAGCCGCCCCGGAGCGCACCAATCCGCCCCACGGGGGACACCTCCCGCCGCCACCCATCCCTGACCCCTCCGTCCCACCCCGCGCGCCGCCAGCTCTCTGCTGCCTCGGAGCTGGGCTAGCGCCCTGCGCAACCCTCGGTCCGACGGTGACCAGGGCCCCAGACGCGGTACACTCCAGGACCCGTTCTCCCTCCCGGCCTAGTGGCACATTCCGACATCCACGCACCGCCCTGGGTGGTTTTTTTCCTCCTTCTTCCTACTAGGCTATTTTGTGGTACATTTGTTATTTCACGCCGGTTTTTGGACGGGGGTGGGGTGGGATAAGAGCGCTGTGCAGTATTGTAGGGAAAAAGTTGAAGAGCAACTCGATGGATGAAAGAGACACTTTAAAATCAAACTAGGAAAACACCTTTGAAAACCGGATGAAACTTCAGAACTATGCAGGGGGAATTTAGCTTTGAATGAGGGTGGCGTGGTTTTTGTGCCTACTGTTAAGCTGGGTGTAGCTGGTGCGATTGCAAAGTGGGTGGAGTGGGGTAGGAGAAGGGCACATTTTCTAGGCATGACAGCCTCGCCCGGATCATTCGTAGAAAATTGAACTGATGTGTTTTCTGGATGATTCAAAAAGAAACAACTGTTCTCGTGAGCACTCCTGGAAGGGATATGTAACTCGCTTGGGTTGTTCAGAAAATTCTTCACACAGTTTTCTTTTTCGGTTTTTAGTATAATTGAACCATGAGAAAATCGTTGGCTCCCCCTTGACTGCCAAGGACTGCACAGAGAATTTCTGTTGTTTGCTCTGGGGACCAGGCTCTCAGGCTAGCCCAGATCTCCTGGCCTGCTGGGTCATCAGGCCTGCCTGTTTTTCTGATACTGCCGTTTTGAGAAAGACTTCAATGAACAGGGCTGACTATGGTGTGAGACCATGGCTTGAATCCCCGGGTAAGTCGTCAGCACCTCTCGCCTCCCCGTTTTGGATACATGAACTCCAAAAAAACCCCAGAAGTTCTGAATAGTGACGAAAATTCTAACAGTCCTCGTTGTCACATAGCAAAAGCATGACGTGTGGCTTTTTGTGTGTCTGATTCAGGAGATAAAATTACTGTTTTCAGACACCATGGGAGTCTGTCCAGGTGGATCAGACATTCTGAGGCTTTGTTTGGGAATGTTAATCAGTTATTTGATCAGGGTTGAACTCACATTTGAGTTTTAGTTCTTTCAGGGCTCAAGCCTGAAAACAAACAAACAAAAATGTGTCCCTAATAAAATATTTATAGCTAATACGGGATTCATTTTATGGACAAGTGACTATACTAATTGTTATATTAGGAGTCATTAGACTCTTAGTTCCTCTCCCTTAAGAAGTGAGTTTTAGTGGAGAGATTTAGTGGAGTGGATTTCTGTGAGTTCAAGGCCAGCCTGGTCTAGAAGAGTTCTAGGACAGGTTCCAAAGCTACAGAGAAACTCTGTCTCAAAAATAAATAAATAAATAAATAAATAAATAAATAAATAAATAAATAAATACCTAAAAGGAAAGAAATCAATCAATCAAATCCTGGGGGACAGGTCAAGGCTGCCTCCCACTGCAGCTAAACTACAATTGGTGCTTTCCTTTTGCAGTCAAGGAAGAAAAAGGAGGAAATGATCTCAGAGCTGGGCTGTGGTTTTAGGTACTCTGCCTCTGCTCCGCTGGACTAAAAGGTCCAGGTAGTAAATAGTTTCCCATCACAAGCTCCCAGTAGCAACTTCTGGGTTCTCATAACCCACAGCCCAGTAGTCTGCAAGGATAGAGCATAATTTAACAGTGTGGCTGTATTCCAGTGCTGCCTGACTTATAACCACAAAGTTGAACTTCATGCAATTGTCGAATGTCAAAACAACCTTTCCCCACCATTTAAGAAGAAAGTAACGTCCTTAGCTTTCGGGTGCACCCAAAAAGAGGAAGGCCAGATGTGGCCCTCAGGCCACACTGTGACATTCCTAGACTACCTGAACTCTGAATCAGGGGGCGGGGCCAGTGACTAGGTGACAGAGATTACCCTTAGTGAAACCAGGAATACAGGAAGGAGAAGAGAGGGCCTTGGAATTCTCTGGTCTGTGAGTCGGGACACTGGCTGGTCTCCAGTAAGAAAGAGAAAGACAGGTCAGCTGGTCACTCCCTCTCTGTGTTTTTTGATCTCTAAGGTTTTTATTTCAATATCTGATGCTCGAGTTTTTATTGGTAATAAAACAATTTAGCAAAACAGAGCAAACCACTGAGAGCTCAAGACTAGGCGGTTGCCTTTAGCAAACACAGCGCTGCTTTTAAGGTTATGGTGGTATGAGTCACCTTCAGGAATGGTGACCGCCTCAGGGTAAGAGCCTGTGATTAAAATGCCTGCTTCAGAATCTGCCCACTGGTCAATAAAATGTACCATAGGAGCTGGGCGGGTGCTGGCGCTCACCTTTGATCCCAGCGCAAGTGAGTTCGAGGCCAGCCTAGTCTACAGAGTGAGTTCCAGGACAGGCTCCAAAGCCACACATAGAAACCCTATCTTGAAAAACTAAAAGAAGTAAAAAAAAAAAAGAAGCGTGCAATAGGAACATGATGAGACCATGCTATTTGCCTGTACCCTCCTATGTAGTAGTAACCAGAACATATGCAGGATGACAAGCTAGCATGCCAGGCTGTTAGGCTTTCAACACAAACCCTTTTATTTGTGGCCTGAGTGTTATAGAGCTTAAACAATTCATGGAAGGATAAAGATTCAGTATCACCATTGCACACTGAAGAGCTATTTCCTTCATGGTTTCCGTATTTTTCCCCATGGAAGACGTGGAGAAGGAATGAATAATCAACTTTATCACACTCTTGCCATGTGCCAAATGTCGTGCTAGATGCCTCCTTATGACATTGCACCTAAAGCACACCACCTTCCAAAGAGATAGACTTATGTTTTATAGATCAGGAAACTGAGAAGCAAGTAACTTTCCCAAGGTCACCCACCAGATTTTTGACTCCCAATATAAGTTTAAAGCCCAAGTGTTTTAAAACAAAAACAAGATTATAAAGACACTAATCCATGCTCATGTTTTTCTCTATGGCAGAGCTTCTCAGAGCATCAGGACAGAAGGACCTTAGAGACAGAAAAACTTCAACGTCCTCATGGCTATCTTGGCAATACTGAACTTACTTTATCACTAAGAGGAACCCATAGGAAGATGATTGCATGCCCCTCCCTGTTTCATTTTAATATTGAACCGAATAAATTTCACAGTGGAATAAGATAACATTTGTATCCCTGTACCTCCAAATCGTGAGTCCTAGATGTAGGTAGGCACTGCAATCCACAAGCCACCTACAGAAAGTCAGCAAAAGACACCAAGCTATGTGTGTAGACAGAAGAGGGCTTTCTCACGAAAGCCAGAATACTGTCATTTGAAGAACGCACTATGTCTTACAAAAAGGCCACAGGGTGTTACTCAGGCAAGTCATCCTGACTGGAGGCTGTCACCAGACAGAAGCTAAAGATTCGGTTTTGAAGCTAGAAGAGAGTCAGTTCTCCTGAGAAGCACAGAGACTTTTGTGATCATGTACTCCAATCACAGTGTTTTGAGAATTTCAAAAAAAAGAGTCTAAGAAGAGCCAGTGAGTGACCCATACTTTTGAAGGGATGACCAAACTGAATATAAATATTCTGCCCTTCCCAGTAGAAGCCCTGGCGTTATTTGGCTTTGACTCTTAAAAGATATTATCTGAACAAGATATTAGACCGCGCCCCCCCACCTTTCGTCATCACTGGCTAAGTTTGCTTCACAACACACTCCCACCATGATGTTGGGTCTCATCAGCCAAAGAAGCAATGGGGTGAGGAGACCAGCAGCTGTGAGCAGAAATAGACCTTTCCTCTTCACAAGCTGTTTGTCTGAGGTATTTTGTTACAGTGATGGAAGCTAACTAACACCAAGAGGATTTTATTCTTTTATGATATTCCCCAAGGCAAAAGGAAATGGATACTCTAGGTCCCTAAAGAAAGGTTAACATAAACCTCATATATAACATTCGGGCAGAATTTCCTCATTTAGATAAGGGTGAAAGGCACTGTGTTGCCGGGTAACCACAGGTGTTTGACCACTTCCTGCAGTTAGCTCAATCAAAGGTCTAATGTCTGGGGAGACCTGAGCACTGCCTTTGCCAGATTAAGGGCTCAGCTTTTAGTTGTAATTTAGATGAGTCAGCTTGTTATCTAAAGCCATCTCGCTGGGGCAGGGCTATAAGACTGTGTTAAGGCACTTGGACAGTGATCCAAGGTCCTGATTGGATCACCAGCACCACACTCAGGAAAAAATAAACTAAGGCAGAGGATAAAAGAAAGAAAGACACATTATGACATTATGGGAAAACTCAGATTTCCAAGTTTGAGTGGGAATGAGGATTCAATAATAACATAGACAATGAATATAAATCCTGTTTGTTTTTAAAAGATTCTTGTGAAAGAATGTGAACAGTAGTATATTAGTGACTAGAAGATGACCTTCTCTCATTGCCAAGAACAGAGCTCAGTCATTTAATTTTGTTCACGCGGTGGGAAAGTCCATTGCGGAAGGTTTAACGTGTATGTGTGCAGTGCGCACTGGCTTCCCAGGGCATCATAGGGATGATGTGTTAACCACAGCCAGTCAGTAGAATTTCCTGAACAATGAAAACACTACCATGTGTGCTGTTAAACACAGTACAAGAAACTAAAATTTTAATTTCAGTAGCATTGTTGACGAATGACTCCTTTGTTGGGCAATATAGGAACTGGTTCGTGTATGTTGTCGTCCCTAGATTTCAAAGAAAGCAAGTTCACTTTACTTGCCTGGAGAAGCCAGGATTGGTGAGCTATGGTTTCATTAGCATGGAACAAAACCTAGCCATGGCAGGTGACAAATGCCCCTAAGTTAGATCATTAGATTATTTCCACTTTGCAAAATGAAAAAACTGAGGTCCTGTGCCTTGTTCTCTCAGCCATTACAGGAGCCAAAGCAACTGAAGTATTTAATTCTCTTCTCAGGCTCACACTCCTTGCTCTCTCCGTGACTTTTCTCTTCTCTCGGATGATGGCGTGTGGGGAGAGAGGGCCAGTAAGATGGCTCAGTAGGTGAAAGCTTGCTGGTCAAGACTGTTGACCTGAGTTCGACTTACAGAACCCATATAAAGACAGAAGGGGAAGCCAGCTCCACAAAGTTGTGCTTTGACGGCCATACATCTGCTGTGGTACACACACCTTTTACACGAATCACACACACACTCTATTAAATATATAAATCACACAGCTGCTCAATTCGGGAGCCACTGCAAACGAGGGGCAGAAAGACTGTGAGACTCCTAGAAATGTCAGAGAAGCTACACTCGTGAAGTCTCACAAACATGGCTGGTTAAACACGGCCTGAGCAGTGAGGACACACCAATAGACTTGCTAACATGGAAGGGGGGGGGGAGCTCATGAAGCCTCAACCCGAGAAAGAACTTCGGGCAACTGAGGCATGCTGGGAGTGGGAGGAAGTCTTTCCCAGGGAAAGCTTATCAATTGACCGTCCAGTACCAAGTGGTCAGCTCGAAAACCATGGACACACAGCAACACTGTGTGGGCTCACCAACAGGAGACTTTTTTTAAAAGTAAGAATGTCTGTCTTGGATAGATGGTAGAATACTTACCTACTGTGTTTGAAGCCCTAGGTTCCACTCCCAGGAGTTACAAAAAAGTATGATATTTCTAAGTTTATATAGAAAATTTCCCACAAGTTCCTTGTGTCTTTTCCTCCAAGTGGGAAAGGATCCTTAGTTGATTAACCCTGATCCTGAAATGATGACATTACTGTTTTGTCTAGGAAAGCTTCAGTTGAATGCCACACTTATACTATATTACTATACTTGAAAAACAAAGAGTCAGATATCCAAGAGTCTACAAAGAATGGATCTGTCTCTACCTCAAACGTATTTCTGGAAGAACTAGATGTATCAACTTTATGTTACATGCTTTATTGAATTTTCTGGATTTTTTTCTGAAACCCGTCCTGCTTCAGCCTGTTTAAGTGAAAGGCAACTTTGAAGTGAGAGGAGGGAACTGAGTTTGTTGGAAACTGTTGAGCTAGCTACCCAGCTCAGCATGCTTTTGGCTTTTTCTGCTTTTCTCAGCAGAAATTCCAAAATTGATATATATATATATATATACTTTTTTATTTTAATTTTCTTCACCATAATTAATAATTTTAGGTTTTACATTTAAATTCTAGCCACCCTCTAGAAAATATTGTATAGAAATAAACCTTGCAGACACCTTTAGCCTGATTAACTGTGTCAGTAGGCTCACATGTTAAGAACTTTGTATTTCTGTTAATAGAATTAGAAACTTAGGTTGTACGGAACTGTCTAATGTTAAATTTGTATTTTTACTTACCTGCATCTTGCAGTCAGGTCTTCCAGGAAGGAGTGGTGATTCTTGGAAGGATGTGTATCTGCTGGCTGAACAAATTGCAGAATCAAGAAGTCTGAACCTTAACAGCCAGAGTACTGTTTCCTCCTAATCCCTGGCAATCAGTAACTAACCATAACCACGTTCAGACTTCCTATAGGGGCCGGTGATGTTTTTATGAAACACACCTGCTTCAGTGGCAAAAAAAGAAAGATCTTAGCCAGGATAACCAGACCCTAGCAACAATAGCAAGCACCCCCCCCACCAACATGTGTCAATATTAGACACACCTTTTGAATTATTACCTCTTTAAAAAAACTCAAGACTGCCGTGTTGTGCGTTGCAGTGGGAGGTGGTGAGAGCTAGCTCAGACTGACTGCTGGGAGCCAAGTCTCAGAAATTTTGCAAGCTTGTGATTAAATAGGATCAATATTCAAGTTAATTTTTTAAACCCCAACCTTCTGTTAGCTTAGTTAAGTAAGAAGGTGCATGGAACTATGAAAATATAGGTTAACTATTTCTATCATCTAGACCATTGTTGCTGTTTGATTGTCTTGAATTCAGTTTGTCTTTCAAGTCCTTAAAGCTCATCTCGCTCCCTCAATAAGCTGCGTTGTATTTGCTGAGTGTTCATTTTTGAAAGGAGCTTTCTGGAAGGCTCCTCGCTGCACCTGGGTCTTGCTCTCCTGGAGCTGGTATCAATTAGGTTCCTCAGGGCACGTTCCTAGAATGTGGTCTTTGCAGTTGCTTGAGATTTCCAGGAATCCAAACAGCCTTAAAGTCTCCAAAACCACACAAATGGGCCAGGCTGTCATTGGCTATCACAATTGGATACAGTGAGTTTTCTGTACACGCAGAAGAGGATGTCTAAGTTTGCTGCATTTGTCATGGGAAGACCTTACATCCTTCTTTCCACCTACTAGCTGGGGTCTGTGTTAGCATGAATGATTTCTGAACATTTTGCACCTAATTCCAAGGGGGGGGGGAACATATGAAACGATAGTCCTGCCCGTCCCTCTCTGTTTTAAATGTGATTTCTCGGATGAGAAGGAAACATTCATCTTGGATTCAGATTTGTCAGAGATCCCCATACATTGTATCTGTGACAGGAAGCCCTGGTGAAGTTGTCTACACTGTATCTCTCTGGTTTTGGAATACCTTCAAATACAGAAGGGAAGGCCTGGCCGCCACCCTTTCTAAACCCCTGGTGACTGTCCCAATGCTTTTGCTCAAGGTAGCCAACAGTTTCCTTTACTGTGACTGAGAGCAGAGGTGTCTTCTAAACCTCGAAGTTCTTAAACTTCTCTCTCCTTTTGCTTGACGTGACCTGCTACAGCATTCACGCCAGCATTTGTGAGGTGCTGACTAGACCTTCTCTCTCCACCATCACTTCATTTGAAAACAATCCGAGGCTTGGCTTATTTTGTATCTCCACGCTGCATCCGAGTGCTGACCATAGTCAGCTCTGCAAACACGGCTTGATTTTTAATCTTACTAGTCTTCCTTAAAGATACCAGATGCCTCCTTAAAAACTGGAGGCATTCTGGCTGGAATGGCCAGTCAGAATAAGAATTTACTAAAGAGACATGAGCAGTGCTTAAAATTCCATCTGTTTTATCGGAATCGAGAGTTGTTATACCACTTGTCACAGGTGTGAAACGCCAGAGCATCCAAGATCAGGTATGAAAGGGGTGAAATTTGTGGTAATTCTGGGATCAAGGTCTGGGGCTCTGTAAGGTGAACTTTGTAACAATGAAAACCAAGGTACTAAAAGAATGCCGATGAACAATCTGTTTAAACTATGTCACTATGTGCTATCGAAAGACCCCCGAATTTAAGGGCAGTGAGATCCCCCAAACCAGCTGTCACCTGGGCCTTAGGGTATCCTTCTCATGTTTCTGTGATGCGGAAGTTTAAGCTTCACAGCTCAGTTTTTTTTTTTTGGAAAAGTCCTTGAAATCTAAAATCCCCATCATGCCCCAGTCAAAGTGCTAACCAGAATATGCAGGAGGTCGCTTAGAGTTGCTTGAAGTCATTTGGCTAAAATGTAAATCTGTAACATGCTATAGCCTATCTTAAACTATAAGTAAGCTTAAAGCCTTTAAAGCTTAGTAAATTTATAAGATATAAGTAAAAAGAAAAACTGCCTATTATCCAGAGAAAACCATTGTTATTATTTTGACTTTTTATCCTTCTAAGCTGCTTTCTATTGTTAAAGGAATGCTCAGGCCAGATAAATTGAGCAAAGTCAATAAATAGAAAATGTTCTTGCAGCGGGCAACATTCCAGACTAAAGGCAATTCCAAAGGCCCCACCTCTCTGTGTATCAGTGCTTTAGCAGGGGACAAGTAAGTACCAGACAGAAATGACCCCACTGATTGTGTCAGCACTTACATTCTGTGGACATGGCCTGATCAGTCAGCAGTCTGTGATTGGATAAGCTATGTGGCTTGTGAGCATTTGATAAGATGGGATATAGTTCAGTATGCACAGTGATTGCTGTGGTGTGTGCTTTACTGTTCAGTTATGGAGGCTGCTTTGCACAGATTTACTTCAGCTTCACACTGCGAATAAAAACTCGCGTGGACATGCTGTTTGTAACTTAGTTTTTATCTGTTATATTGACTACCATTTTCTTTCTTTTTTTCCCTGTTTTCCAGCTCTGAAGATTGAGGCTGGGGCCTCTCATGCTTGCTGAACAGACCCTGTACTGCTGAGGGATGTCTCAAGCTCCTTCCCTGTTTATTTTGAGATGGAGTCGTTTTAATTATTACACAAATGAAGGACACCGACGTGCATCCACACACACACAGACACACCCTCCTCTTTAGACCTGCTTCCACACACAGCAATTCCTGACCACAGTTGCCTACCAGTAGTTTCAAACCATACCAGAGACTTTCACAAATTCTCCCAGTGGTAAGAAGAATGATTTAGTCTGTAAGTATAAAGCTACAGATTGGTTTTACATAGAAACCTTTGGAAGTTAAGTAATTGAACAAGGCTATACCATGAGTCATTGCTAGGAGTCCTAAGAGGAAGCAGGGCCTCCCACACGTCTATTCTTTGCCATTTGTACCACAACTATCTACATATATGTATGTGAAAAAAACCTTCGAAATGTCTCCAACAAACTCTCTCAGCATAAACTTGAGGTGGGAAGATGAGCAAACAGACGGGTGCTACAGTTACCAGAATAAAAGTGTCCACATCTAGATGGGAGCTTTATCTTCAAACTAGTAGTCACCCCGCCCCCCCGCTGCTGGGACCAGCATGAGTATGACAGTCAGCGGACTGAAATCCACTCTTTGTGGAATGGCAGAAAATACGTACAGAGTATTTATCACATAAAAAAAATCAATGTTCGGAACAGCGAAGGAACTATTACAATGAAACACCAACTATAACCTAAGTAAAAATGGTCAAGCGACAATGTAGATATTTCTTTGAAGAAGATAAAGACTAAAGATCAAAACATGTTTAAAAGATGCCACAAATCGCTAATTGCCAAGGGAAATTCAGATTAAAAACAGAGATATTACATCACGTTTATTAGAAAGTTAAGATGTTAACTATTAAAACTGAAGAGGGAAACAGAGGGTCTGCCTCGCTGGTCACAGTGCTTGCTGAGCCAGCTAGGTCGCGGCGGATGTGAGACACACTTTCAGATGGGGCTGCAAGCTGTCAAATCCAGCTCGGCTGTCCCACAGGCTTGTGCTGGGCTCAGTGTTCCTTTACAGCGCTGATTTGGGGTGGGTTATTGACCTACACTATTATAATCATGCTAGATGAAATATGGAATAGATACAAGAAGCAGAGAATCTGCACACAAGAATATTCACAGGGGAAAACCAGTGAAGCATTGTCACTACCAAATAGCATGCTTTCCTAATCTTCGAGAGCAGATTATTCTGGTTTCATATATACATATATATATTCTTATGAATGAACAACATATATTTTATATATAATAAAATAACTATACACGTATATTTTTTAAATTAATATATACATATATTTTTTAAACTAATATATATGTATATATATTAGTTTAAAAATAAGAAACTATCCATCTACTGTCACAGTTTTCTTGCCTCTGTCTCCTAGGTGTTGGGATTACAGGAATGAACCTCAATTCCTGGCTTCCAATTAGGTTTTACAAACAGTGAGTACATCATTGGTAAAAGGCAAGACAAATATAAAAAGAAAAGACGCTTGCTAACCTAACTAAACACACAGAGATCTGGGGTTAGTGAATGGACTGAAAAAACAGTCTTGTCATCCATGGCCCGTTTCTCTGGGGAACAACGTTGCCAACAGCACTGTGAGAAAAACGCAGAACTGTGAAGTCTTCTTTTCAACTAGCTCAGATTCACTGTGTGTGGGACTGGGCTCCCTGAAGGCATCTCCACACAAGCATGTCCTTCGAGTGTAAGATCCTCTCATGACTCCGCACCTCGCTGTCACGAGCCATTTCCCCCCTAAAAATCATTACAGGAACCATCACCCTGGGGAGTCTGCAGAGAACCCCACACCCATAATTATGTTCTATTGACAAAACCTGCCCCACACCCAATTAAGCTGTTGATGGAGAGCTATCTGTTAGCAGAACCCGCCTCACATTACAGCTATCCAGGGAA